TGTGTGTGTGTGTGTGTGTGTGTGTGTGTGTGTGTGTGTGTGTGTGTGTGCGTGCGTGCGTGCGTGCGTGCGTGTGTGCGTGCGTGCGTGTGTGCGTGCGTGCCGGGGGGGGGGGGAGATTGGGGGGATAGATGATAGATTTAGCAACAAGTAAGGTCATCTTGAGTGGGAGGGTATTCGCAGATGGATTAGCATATGAACTATGATTCTCTTTAGGCAGAAAATGAGGATCCACGATGTTCGACCTGGTAGAAGTGTGTTATCAAACCTCACAGCATTGGTTTTTTGACTGACTGTAGCGTCAAAACAAACTCATTCATTTACTTGAACTGAATGTTCATCTTAATTGTTATGGATAGTCACGGTGCCATGATCCAGAGTACAGGGTGTCATTAGATAGAAATAAACTAAGTAATAATAGGATTACCAGAAAAGCGGGGTTTTACACACAAGCCAATAAACTTCGCTCATTAACACCAGAGTAAGTCAGTACAAGATTGAAAACTGCCCCATAATTATGTATGACATGCTTGTCGGGTATTGCTACATATATATGTGAAAACAAAGTTATTAAAATGAAGAGCAAAACTTATGAAAGTTAACAATAAACGTGTATACGTGTTATATCGTCACTGCAAAAATAATGATTGTTTGTCTTTAGTATTAACATTCAAATACGTTATATCTGTATTAGCGATATTGTCTTTGTTCCACCGGCGAGTCAGCGTTAGCCGTACTATCTCGTAGTATAATTTTATTTCTGAAGACATCATGATACAGTTTTTACGATGCATCACGTCTGCACTAGCGCTTGATAACAGCCTTGTGTTTGGGTGTTTCAGTGGTTTAAATCGCTGCTCTTGATATTGTTGATTAAACTTTGATACTATGAACAATATAATGTTATGTGAGAGGTTGACTTTAGAACGGTAACATACTAATAGTATATAGGATGACATAAACAGAACAATGAGAAGTTCGTCCAGATTAGTGTATAGGCAACATTTAATAATTAAAATAATTACATTCAACAACTCCCCTTTTAAGTCAATTTTCCTGACTTATAAGTAAATGCAAGAACAATCGGCCGGAATACAATGTATAGTTCTTGTCCACTTCCATATGACTATATAGCATACAATAAGCTATCGGGTCCCGTTTAGATCGGTTTGGGTGGCAGCCTAGATAGCCATAGAATAGTTTCATCTTGGAATCTCCCATATCACTGGGGATACTCTCCAATTTAAATGGAGTTACTCGTTACGATTCCGAATCTTCACGTGACTGTGTTTATGAACCATTGTCAAATAGTGGTGACATTAAATCTAGGAAACAATACGCGAAATCGCGCATGCACAGAACGGAAAATTTGGTCAAGGCATTAAGTAATCCGCATGCGCAGAACGATTGATTTCAGTACTTCCGCTAAGCGCTTCGAGTGCAGCGTCAAACGCGGGCCTGTAATCTAACACGCGGGGACTGACCAATGAAAACTGAGAAGTAGAAATACCGGTAGACGCTGTTGCTTGATTGACAATGTCAATCAAGAAAGGGAGGAGCTTAACGCTATCGTTCTCTCCCAGTAAATTCCGATGTCAAATAACGACGTTATTTGGACGGAAAAACGATGGTTTGAAAACGTCCAAATAACGTCGTTTTTCCGTCCAATGACCATTTACGGAAAAAAACGACGTTTTCGTGTTTGCAGTGTAAAGTTCAGGGTGTTTGATTGCCTGGCATCTGCGTCAATCGAACAGTGACAGTTCAACAACATGCCGAGATTAACAGAAGTGCAAAGAAACAACGTCATAGGTCGCTTGCAGGCAGGGAATCCCGATCAGCTGTAACGAGGGTTTTCAATCTAGCGCCCAGAACCATCACAAGTCTATGGGATCGGTTTCAACAGCATGGGTCAACACGGGACGACCAAGAGTAACCACCCCCGCCGAAGATCACTACATCCGACTGAGCCACCTACGTGAAAGGACGATCGCAGCCACCTCAATCGTACCCAAAGTACCCAGACAGCGCAGAATCTCCGACCAGACCGTAGGAAATCATTTAAGAGCAGCAGGTCTACGAGCAAGACGTCCTGGTCGACGTGTCATAGTGAGTCGACAACATCGTCAACAACGACTACAACAGGGTATAGTTTCAACTGCAATGGAGAGATGTCTGGTTCAGCGACGAATCAAGAATTCTCCTCCGTCGAGGGGACGGAAGAGCACGGGTCTACAGACGTCGTGGAGAACTACGTACAGGAAGTGTACAGGTTTGGTTGGGGTAGCGTTATGATGTGGGCGGATATCTCTCATCATGGCAGAACAGGTTTTGTCCAAATCCAGGGCATAACGTTATCTTACGGCTCAAGGATACATCAACGAAAACCTCCTGCAACACGTCCTCCCAATTGCAGCCAACGGCAACGGTGTATTCCAGCAGGACAACGCTCGAGAGCATACAACATGGATCACAAGAGCCTGTCTACACCACAACAACTTTGATGTTCTCCCCTGTCTCTCCAGATCCCCGGATTTGAACACGATAGAGCACCTGTTGGATGAATTGGATAGACGTTACTCATAACCCCAGACGTTGCAGCAGTTGGCTTTAACGTTGCAGGCCGAGTGGGCTACCATTCACCAGAATGTGATTCGCATACTCGTTTCTTCCATGGGCAGGATATGTCAGGCCGCTATCGATTCCAACAGGGGACATACGCGTTATTGATGGCAGCTGACCTTCACCTTGCACCTTTCCTATTTACCGATAACTGAGATGACTACAACCACCAAGTGTTCTCTCCACAACAATTTGGCTCCATACCTTGTACGATTCCTAGTCTGGCTTTGCGTTTCTTTTTTTGAACAGTATAGATTTAAATATGTGTATTTTTTTGGTCAAAATGAATATGAAAATGTAAAACATGTCTTTATATCATGTGAACTTGTGAAGGGATTGAGGAGGGGTATGGGATTTTATCCAAAAAATAATTTGTCCCCGAAAATTCTTGAAAAACAAAATCGTGCATAAGACTTTTTTATAAAAAAAAAGAAATTGCCTGCAACAAACATAACAATTGGTGCAAGGTGTTTTTCTTTTTAAAAAAATAAAGCTAAAAAAAATATCTGGTTTGCAGCTGCAGCTGAAAAATATTTAATCTCAATACAGATACAAAATCCCAGTATTAAAACTTCACCGAGAAGCATTCTTAAGATTTACTTTGAATGAATTAAAAGTGGAAACTTATGTGACCTGAAAAAAACCAGCAGTTTTCCAAATTTCAAGAGGACAGTGCAATTTCTCCAAAATATTAGACATGAACATGTTGAATCACAAATGTACCATGAACCATGGCATTCCGTCTGACGTGCTCTTGAAACGTGAATTACACTGTATATCACTGATTTATTCTGCATACACTTACTGATATGAATACAAAATTACACTGTTTAAGCTCTTCAAGCATGTCTGAGTATTCCACTGCGTTAACACATAAGATGCATTATATTTAATTCTCCCATAACAGGGCTTGATCTCCAATCGCCAGCAGTGGTTTATTCGTAGTGGTTTATTTTTATTTACGCAATCTGATTGGCTGGCTGATAGTGGAGTGCTGTGTCATCGTGTTTTGATTGGCTGTCTAAAAATAAATTCCGGCACTATTTTCGAATCGGGGATTCCCGAGGTCGTCTGGTGCAGGAAATACTCAGCTGTCAAAACATTAGGCCCCACCGTAGTGACGATGTTTCAATCACCGAAAGTTGGTGATCAAGTGAAAATTTGTGGAGGAGGAAGGGGATGCGGAGATGTATCTGATAATTTCGGCTTCCCGATGTACGAGATTAAGTCGCAGAATGGGAAGACGGTGACCGAAGCAAGATACCGCTTCGATATTACGGGACCAGGTGAGCCATTCCGGTAGATTCTTCACTGGGCGTTTACAATGCTAATAAAACAGCTAATGAAATAGTTAATTAATTTATGTAAAAATACAAATAAACTACCATATTGCTTTTGGTATTTAAAAAAATTAACCATCAAACACATAAGCAATGTCACGTTATAAACGAAGTGTTGATATGGAGCCGATCGATCGTTTGTGTAACCCAGCGTCCAAAGCATATTTCATAGTTATTTGACAATAATAGAGACTTAAACTTCATATTTCAAAAAATAAAGACTCAAATAATTTGTATCCAACGCAATACTTCATTTTAATGAAGGAAACGATCATACTTTGCCGGACCGTACAGCGCACGACCAGGGTGTACTGCAACCACAGCAGTTGTCTCCCCTTACAACAGGTAGAGTTTATCCAGATCAATATAATTCATCTATTTGGGCCTATAAATATTTGGGTTTTTTTTACCTTGAAGACTTAATTGAAACATACAATTTCTGGAAAATTATGAAGCTCATTTTTTTAATAAAAAAACATTAACATTACCACATTTAAACTTGAATGCAGTTATAAGTACCTTGATCTATGAAAACTCAAAAAAAAATATATGTATTTATATTTTTTCTTAACTATTTTGATTTCTAATAGGGAGCAGTGAAAAATTAATTTCATATTATTATTTTAGGTAGAAACTCACGAGAGAAAGAAAGGAATGGGTCAAAGAAAAGATCAAGAGAGAGTTCTCCATTCAGAGGTAAAATTATGATATTTTTTTTTTTTTGATATTCTGAAATATTGGTTATTTTGGTTGGGTTCGAGGCTTGCCGAGAACTTAGCCATAGGAACGAGGCTTGCCGAGTCCCTAACCATGACTTACCACAAGTATAAATATATACAATAAAATATACACACATAAATCATAAGTAAATCCAATATACATACACTATTAACAGATTTTCAATCCATTTAGGTTAATCATATTTGATAATCATCATTTTGCAGAAATAATAGTTACTTTCAAAGTCAGTGCTGTTGAGTATCTAAATCAATGAATAACTGTTATTAAATCTCATGTTGTTTATTTGTAGATGTTAGACTAGATGGTTCAGATGATGAGTTTGATGAAGAGTTCAACAACTGGATGTCATGTAGCCAGGAGGAAATACAGCAATTCATCAAGGCACAAGAAAATAAGAACACCGCCAAGAAAACTAATTCCAACATGACAACACTTGCCAAGTGGTTAGAGCAAAATAGAGGTGAAACAAGACCCCTTCAATCCATCCCTCCACACAGACTTAACAGTCACCTTTGCAAGTTTTTTATGGATGCCAGGAAAAGTAACGGTGAAAACTATGAACCATCATCCCTTAAAGGTAAAATTTCGCACTTTAGAAACATTATTAAAGTAATATCCAATATTATAAAAACATGGGCCTCAGATTGGCAAGTTTTCACTATTACTTTAACAGATGTTAACAAACATGATAAAGAAATTGAAGTTTAATATTTTGGTAAACATCCACATCTTTAACTAACTGTCATTCTGATAGCAATGTATAGTATATATTCCAAAATTAGGAACCTGATTACAATCTGATTACAGTTTGTTTAATAGATGACACATAATATTTGAACGTCTAAAATTTCAAAGTAATTATACAAATCTAAATTTAAATATATTGTTATGCTGATTTTAATTTTGGTTTATTCTACATTAGGATAATACACTTAATATCAAATTATTATTTAGACCAGTCTGCTTATTACTAAAAGTATGAAGCATGCTTATCTTCAAGTTCTTAAAGACATTTTACTTACAGGAATGTTATCATCATTCAACCGACATCTGAGGGAACACAATTACGCCTACTGTCTCATTAGGAGCGAGGAGTTCGCCCAGCTTAATATGGTCATTGCTTCCAAGCAAGTGGAACTGAAAAGAAGTGGGAGAGGAAACAGACCTCGTAAAGCGGATTGCCTCACAGAGGATGAAGTCGACAGGCTTTACTCATCAGGTAAATCCATGTTATGATAAATTTATTCAGCTCTTAACATCCAAATATCCTGTGACAATTAGTTCTTTAGCTATGAAAAACATATGAAAACAGCTAAAACTTTTGTAACGAGCGAAGTGGTGCTCTTCACATGTATGTTATAAAAGGTCTGTATGTAATGTATAATGGGCCGGTGTTCTCTTTACTGATATAAAGTCTCCCTCCCTCCCCCAGGTCAACTGGGATCACACACACCGGAGGCGCTCCTGCACACTGTATGGTTTAACAATACCATATACTTTGGTATGAGAGGAGTGCAGGAGCATCATGAAATGAAGTGGGGCGATTTGAAAGTGAAGCAGGACGGTAATGGTTACGATTATGTCGCCTTCTGTGAGCGATCTACAAAAACAAGAGGTGGAGCAGATCCAAATAATATCAGGTAAGGAAAATAAATTGGTGATGATTTGTGAGTATGAATATTATATAAATACAACTTAATGCGCAACAAAACCAAAATATTCAATTGTTTAAAATATACTTTAAAAAATTGATTTTAATGTAATTTGAAATCATCTTCTGGTATGTTTTATGGATGAAAGAAATGTAACTCTTATGAATTATAATGAGTGACCTTACACAAATAATGTTTTAATTAATCAGTAAAATAGATCATCAATGATGTGAAAGATCACTATTTCTATCTATCATGTGTTTGTCTTACAGACAAGTTGAGCCAAAGATGTGGGCTACTAAGGAGAACCCAGAACGTTGTCCTGTGAGGATGTTCAAAAAGTATTTCGAATTGAGGCCAACACACTACATGAAGGAAACTGATCCCTTTTATATATCAACGTGTACAGACATGAATAAGTCCAAGAAGTGGTTCAGGGGACAGCCAGTAGGGATAAACAAGTTGGGTTCCTTCATGAAATCTATGGCGAAAGCAGCAGGTAATTTATGTTTAACTATATGATCTAAATATCAATATCATAAGAGAACATGTAAATTGTTCATATCAATACATGATAATGTTTACACTACAGTGATGATAACTTGATTTAATTACTAAATGCAGATTTAAGATAACAAATGTAATAAAGTTTTCGAATAAACCATTATGATTCAGGTTTGACAGATGGAGGACCACAAGCCAAAAGGTTGACCAACCATAGTGCGAGAAAATATGTTGTCCAAAAGTTGTGTGATGCTGGTGTTCCCAGCAACCAAGTGATGCAGGTTAGGAGCTTCACTAAATGCTAAATCCATGAATATTCAAAGTTAAATAATCAAATTTCATGTTTGAAAAATTGTAAAGATCTGTGCAACTTCTTTATGTCAACGTGATACAAAGAAAATACTTATAACTAAATTTTAGGAATGAAATTGACATACCCCATATCTCATAAAAATGTATTATTTATTAAGCTTATTGATTGCAGATATCTGGCCACAAGAATGTGCAAAGCCTAAATGACTACAGTTCACTGAACAGCAACCAACATAGAACCATATCTAAGATTATTGGTGGACAAGCAAAAAGACCCAAAAGCACACAAGGTCCTGTGAGCCCATTACCAGACCCTGTGAGCACCATGGTGTCCAGCCAGATGTCCAGAACAAGCTCCGAGCAGAGGGAGAGCCACACAGTCAATGTCTCCAGGGGTGTAGATCCCGTGCAGGGAATGTTCAACAATGTATATGGGGGCACATACAACATCACAGTTAATTATTTTCAGAATCAACAGTATTAAAGACAATGTATAAAATGTTGTAAATATTTGATAACTGTTGAAATGATATTTTATTGTTTACATATATCCTATGTCTTTATGTTTCACACACAATAAACTATTGTGCTTGTCAAATTCATTGTTGCTTGTCATTCTCAAATGTGTGAAAATTAGACAACTGATTTAGTAACATTTTTGGTGTTATGATGGTAAATAGTATGTTCAAAAGTCAAATATTGAATTATTCACTGTAAAATTAGTTTAAAGAGCAAAATTCGTGAATTAATCGTGATTAATCTGCCACGATTAGAACTCGGCAAAGCCTCGTTCTAATCGTGGCAGATTAATCACTCGTGTGTAGATTTTTCGGTAACAACCGAACACAGTGGTTAATCCTCTATTTATACACGATGTAGGCCACGTAAATCAATTTATACAATTGTCAGAAATGTAGACCATGGTAGATACAGGCCTCACCTTGTCAGGTTTGATGTTTCAGGTAAATACGTCGTTCCACTTGAATTTCAAATGTATTCAAACACGGCTCGATTTAAAGAACTTGATTCAGCTTGCACCAGGTTCATGTTGACAGGAAAAACCAAGTTGCACCAAAACAAACCAGGTTGCTCCCTCGTCCCATGAATTTATCAAAGTTGAAACAGGCCGATCTGCTGCCATAAATTGATGTTTTGTTTGTTTGTTGTTTAACATCGCACTCAGCAATATTCCGGCTATATGACGGCGGTCTGTAAATACTTGAGTCTGGACCAGACAATCCAGTGATTGATATCATGAGCATCGATCCACATTCAATGGGGATCGATTACATGCATCAACCAAGTCAGCAAGCCTGACCACCCGATCCCGTTAGTCATACATTAATGACTCAAAGTTGAGGTGAAATGGGGCTTAAGGTCGCGTACAAGATTGTTCAACTTATATATGTAGCAACTTGCATGCACGTGTGTGTCTGTGTGCTTGTGGCTGCATGCACGTGTGCAGACTGATGCCAATTTATAGTGCTAGCCAACTGAGTAACCATGTCGCAGTTTAACACGAATACCCCACTCAGACAGTAAACTGACTCTGAGTCGACCAGTCCTTGTTTAAGCCCCTTTTATGCCAAGCGCAAGAAAGGGTAACAACAAGTACCCAATTGCATGCGCCAATCATGTAGGTTTGTGAAACACTACATTCCTGTACATTACTACAAAGTGTCTATAAGCTAGACAAACATGTTGAAGGTTGCAACTACACTACATTCACACTATATTCTGTACATCACACCCGGGAGTCTATAGAAGCTAGACGGACATGTTGAAGGTTGAAACTACAATACATTCACACTATAATATGTACATTACACCAGGGATTCTATAGAAGCTATGAACATGTTGAAGGTTGCAACTACACTACATTCACACTATATTCTGTACATTACACCAGTGAATCAACAGAAGTTAGACGAACATGTTGAAGGTTGCAACAACACTACATTCACACTATATTCTGTACATTACATCAGGGAGTCTGTAGAAGCTAGACGGACATGTTGAAGGGTTGCAACTACACTACATTCACACTATATTATGTACATTACCCCAGTGAATCAATAGAAGCTAGACGAGCATGTTGAAGGTTGCAACTACACTACATTCACACTATATTCTGTACATAACACCAGAGAGTCTATAGAAGCTAGACGAACATGTTGAAGGTTGCAACTACACTACATTCACACTATATTCTGTACACCACACCAGGGAGTATATACAAGCTAGACGGACATGTTGAAGGTTGCAACTACACTACAGTCACACTTTATTCTGTACATCACACCAGGGAGTCTATAGAAGCTAGACGAACATGTTGAAGGTTGCAACTACACTACACTACATTCACACTATATTCTGTACATTACACCAGGGAGTCTATGGAAGCTAGACGAACATGTCGAGGGTTGAAACTACACTACATTCACACTATATTATGTACATTACACCAGGGAGTCTATAGAAAATAGACGAACATGTTGAAGGTTGCAACTACACTACATTCACACTATATTCTGTACATTACACCAGTGAATCAATAGAAACTAGACGAGCATGTTGAAGGTTGCAACTACACTATATTCGCACTATATTCTGTACATTAAACCAGTGAATCAATAGAAGCTGGACGAACATGTTGAAGGTTGCAACTACACTACATTCACACTATATTCTGTGCATTACACCAGGGAGTCTATGGAAGCTAGACGAACATGTTGAAGTTTGAAACTACACTACATTCACACTATATTATGTACATTACACCAGGGAGTATATACAAGCTAGACGAACATGTTGAAGGTTGCAACTACACTACATTCACTCTATATTCTGTACATTACACCAGGGAGTCTATGGAAGCTGGACGAACATGTTGAAGGTTTAAACTACACTATATTCACACTATATTCTGTACATTACACCAGGGAGTCTATTGAAGCTAGACGAACATGTTGAAGGTTGCATCTACACTACATTCACACTATATTCTGCACATTACACCAGGGAGTCTATAGAAGCTAGACAAACATGTTGAAGGTTGAAACTACACTACATTCACACTATATTCTGTACATTACACCAGGGAGTCTATTGAAGCTAGACGAACATGTTGAAGGTTGAAACTACACTACATTCACACTATATTCTGTATATTACACCCGGGAGTCTATAGAAGCTAGACGAACATGTTGAAGGTTGCAACTACACTACATTCACACTATATTATTAACATTACACCAGGGAGTCTATAGAATCTAGACGAACATGTTGAAGGTTCAAACTACACTACATTCACACTATATTCTGTATATTACACCCGGGAGTCTATAGAAGCTAGACGAACATGTTGAAGGTTGCAACTACACTACATTCACAATATATTCTATACATTACACCAGTGAATCAATAGAAGCTAGACGAATAGTTGAAGGTTGCAACTACACTACATTCACAATATATTCTGTACATTACACCAGGGAGTCCATGGAAGCTAGACGAACATGTTGAAGGGTGAAACTACACTACATTCACACTATATTCTGTACATTACACCAGGGAGTCTATTGAAGCTAGACGGACATGTTGAAGGTTGCAACTACACTATATTCGCACTATATTCTGTACATTACACCAGTGAATCAATAGAAACTAGACGAGCATGTTAAAGGTTGCAACTACACTATATTCGCACTATATTCTGTACATTACACCAGTGAATCAATAGAAGCTGGACGGACATGTTGAAGGTTGCAACTACACTACATTCACACTATATTCTGTACATTACACTAGGGAGTCTATGGAAGCTAGACGAACATGTTGAAGGTTGAAACTACACTACATTCACACTATATTATGTACATTACACCAGGGAGTCTATAGAAGCTAGACGAACATGTTGAAGGTTGCAACTACACTACATTCACACTATATTCTGAACATTACACCAGTGAATCAATAGAAACTAGACGAGCATGTTGAAGGTTGCAACTACACTATATTCGCACTATATTCTGTACATTACACCAGTGAATCAATAGAAGCTGGACGAACATGTTGAAGGTTGCAACTACACTACATTCACACTATATTCTGTACATTACACCAGGGAGTCTATGGAAGCTAGACGAACATGTTGAAGGTTGAAACTACACTACATTCACACTATATTACGTACATAACACCAGGGAGTATATACAAGCTAGACGGACATGTTGAAGGTTGCAACTACACTACATTCACTCTATATTCTGTACATTACACCAGGGTGTCTATGGACGCTAGACGAACATGTTGAAGGTTGAAACTACACTACATTCACACTATATTCTGTACATTACACCAGGGAGTCTATTGAAGCTAGACGGACATGTTGAAGGTTGCATCTACACTACATTCACACTATATTCTGAAAATTACACCAGGGAGTCTATAGAAGCTAGACAAACATGTTGAAGGTTGAAACTACACTACATTCACACTATATTCTGTACATTACACCAGGGAGTCTATTGAAGCTAGACGAACATGTTGAAGGTTGAAACTACACTACATTCACACTATATTATGTACATTACATCAGGGAGTCTATACAAGCTAGACGAACATGTTGAAGGTTCAAACTACACTACAGTCACGCTATATTCTGTACATAACATCAGGGAGTCTATAGAAGCTAGACGAACATGTTGAAGGTTGCAACTACACTACATTCCCAATATATTCTGTACATTACACCAGTGAATCAATAGAAGCTAGACGAACATGTTGAAGGTTGCAACTACACTACATTCACACTATATTATGTACATTACACCAGGGAGTCTATAGAAGCTAGACGAACATGTTGAAGGTTGCAACTACACTACATTAACACTATAGCCTGTACATTACACCAGTGAATCAATAGAAGCTAGACGAACATGTTGAAGGTTGCAACTACACTACATTCACACTATATTCTGTACATTACACCAGTGAATCCATGGAAGCTAGACGAACATGTTGAAGGTTGCAACTACACTACATTCACGCTATTTTCTGTACATTACACCAGGGAGTCTATAGAAGCTTCACGGACATGTTGAAGGTTGCAACTATACTACATTCACACTATATTATGTACATTACACCAGGGAGTCTATAGAAGCTAGACGAACATGTTGAAGGTTGCAACTACACTACATTCACATTATATTCTGTACATTACACCAGGGAGGCTATAGAAGCTAGACGAACATGTTGGAGGTTGCAACTACACTACATTCACACTATATTCTGTACATTACATCAGGGAGTCTACATAAGCTAGACGAACAAGTTGAAGGTTGAAACTACACTACATTCACATTATATTATGTACATTACATCAGGGAGTCTATACAAGCTAGACGAACATGTTGAAGGTTCAAACTACTCTACAGTCACGCTATATTCTGTACATTACATCAGGGAGTCTATAGAAGC